GAAGGTGTGTCACTAATCATAAGTTATGTATGTATGTATATAAAATAACTAGCGTTGCCCCCGGCTTCGCCCACGTAATTTGCTATATGTAATTACTAATTACCTCGACTCTAAAGGTTGTAGCGTGATGATAGATAATATATAGCCTTCCTCAATAAATAAACTATGAAATACAAAAATTATAATTTTTCAAGTTCAAATAGTAGGTATAGATAGATATTATAGATATAATAGATTGGTGCATCCAAACAAACTCTTCATTAGTAGCTTTATACATGAGTATGTACAAAATAAGTACACAAAAATAAACAAATATGTTTTAAAATTAATTATGCAATGGTTTTCGTTTATTAATTATAATAAGACCTATATTAACTTATAGTAAAGATATTTTGTTTAGATTGCTTTATGCTTATATATAATGATTTTTATGCCAATGAATTATAATAATTACTCCGAGTATGAAATTACGTACGTGGTGCTGAGACAGCATTAAACCATAGGTAGGTACATTTATATATAAAACTCATCTATACAATTATAATAAAATTCTGAGTCATTATTATCCGATAGCCGAGTTTACAGTTTTTAGAATTTTTGTCTGCCTGTCTGGGAACGCATCACGAGAAAACAACTAGACAGATTTTGATGAAATTTTATATGATAATAGCTGGTTATCCGGGTCAACATCCATACTAATATTATAAATGTGAAAGTTTGTGTACTATTTTACGCAAAAAGTACTGAATGGATTTTAATGAAACTTTACAATAATATAGCTCATACTTCAGAATAACACATAAGCTAACTTTTTATCCCGGAAAAATGTACGGTTCTCTTGGTATAGATTTGTGTTTTTCTTGAGCCGAACCCGAGCGAAGCGAGAGTCGAGGGTAAGCCGCTAATATTAGATATTTTTTACTGCGGGAAAATATCTCATCTCTAAGAAATCTATACTAAACGTTAAAACGTAAGTAGGGACGAACCCGAACGGAGCAAGGGTGAGTCGCTAGTGGATTTAACTCTAAATCGAAATTGGTTATTTTGCATTGGATATTAAAATTATTGTTTAAACTTATCTTAATTCATAACGAAAACACATCAAATGCCGATTGAATCATCGAAGACAGTAGAGACGTGTGTGAAACTAGCACATAAATATGTGAACATTTAATTATTGCTTACAATGTAAAACGTGACTATTACAACTATTTTAATTATCAAGAGCCATAAAATTTTGCTTTTGAATGTTAACATTCTATTTTATTATATCTTCTGAATTAACAGAAGACGCGCTTTCTCTAAGCGAAATGATTATGGTTTATAGCTCATGGCGAGTTAAATTTTCATACGTATACACACACATACACACATGTGTCCCGCGCAATTTACAATAACCCTTTAGTGTTAAAGTATAAATTATATTCAATACATTTACTAGTACGGTCTGATAACTTTTATTGTTTTTTTTTTGATTGGATTTCGCGAAACAGAATTTTCTTACAATTTCTATATAACGCGAATATAACGTCACGTCAAAGTGAGGCCAAATGTAAGCCACAAAACAAAAAGCCTAACAAATATAGAAACAGAGGAAGACCAATAAATGGTTGAATTTCAGTATTGTACAAATAGCCTTATAAGATTATTATGAGATAATTTTATACGATAAATGAGAGGCCCATACCATATATACCTTAAAGACATATATATTAATTTTAAAACTTAAAAACTATTTAACACGGAGTGTAGACGTGTCAGCGGGCAAATTTTAAGGACGGCCGCATATTATTCGATCAGTTCGCAGGGTTCGCTCGACAATTAATGTGCGGGGTCTACGATAAAATGTATAGAGAGTGCGCCCTCTGACGTTCTGATTATAAAAATAATCTAATAGAAAAAACAAATGAGCAGAGTGCCTTCCGTCAGAAATTTTCTGACAGAAAAAACCTTTAGTATGAGGCCAGCCTAAAGGCTCTCTTTAAAATATCAATGTCATGCCTTTATGCCAATAAAATAACTTGCGTAATTCAATTATATATATCTTTAAAAATTATAGCATATGCGTTACTCTGATGAACAAGCTATATTATTGTAAAGATTCATCAATATCCATTTAGTAGTTTTTGCGTGAAAGAATAACAAACATCCATAATTATATACCTAACAATTTATTCTGGAAACATTTGAGAATTAATTCTTAGAAAATAATAATTGTTACAATACACTTCATAGTTTTAATGAGCAGTCATTATATGCAACCTTATATTTTCAAGGGAACGGAAAACGATAGATTCTTAGCCTCTTTTTTATACTCATAATTTTAATTAACTATAATTGTTATTTCAGCTTCAAATAAATATTTCTCCTACTAACAACTCAAATAATACGTACTACAACCCCAACAAACTATTCCTTACTAATGGAAGTCTCGTTAAAACCAACGATAAACCCATTAAAATCAGTGACAGTCTCGTTAAAATCGATTAAGTTTAATCTTACTACTATTTATATGAAGTTCAGGTTGGCAGACAGCACATGTCTTTCGAAAACTTGCTAGGTTTTGTCAGACATGCAGGTTTCCTCACGATGTTTTTCTTCATCGTAAGGCAAGAAGGCAGTGGTAGCCCAGTTGGTAACCAGGTGGTTGGTGAGTGAAGCGGGTTCAAAATCCGGGTCTCGCACCTCTGATATTTTCATGTGCGAATCATTTCCAATATGATTACCACAAGTTTTTTATACAAAAGGTTAATATTATGTAGAATAAACTGATATAAAAGAAAAAATGTTTAGTCATTATGAAACAACTAAAAAAAGGTTAGGCAATAATTGTATGAAATAAATTTGTCATTAGGTAAAATATATGTATGTCGTAACAATATCCACACCCATTAGATATAATTGATTAAATACTATTGATATTATTATAATAGAGATGTATTTTTATGCTTTCATTAATTGAACTAGATTTGCAGTTTTATAATAACGTGAATAATTCGAGATGTTTTAGCGCTATACTTACACCCTTAATGGGTAGGCCGTGTGCCTCTACCTTTAGAATTTGACGATAATACTTATTTTTATTTACGATGGAATTTAAAATAGTGATGACAGCCCCCCACGGATATTCTTGGGTTTTTTTTATTAAGTTTATAGGTAGTTGAATATGTTATTGCCACATCTACAATCATCGAGAACCAAATAGGTAGGTACTTAGGGAAATGATAAACGACTCCGCGAGAGATCAACTCAATTTTTTTTTACGATTATTATTCATTTATTTTTTAAGTCGGGGTTTTTTAAATTATTTTATCCTTTTTCAATTACTTTTTTACAGTCGTGGGTTTTTTCAATTTTTTTTTATTTTGCTTTTTATTTCAAACTTTTTACAGAGCATAGATATTATGTATGTACGTTGACTTCGTCTTTTGCGCCACAAACATTTTTGCGCTTAAATCGTGTACGACGTATGTATTAAATTTTTTTCTAAAGAATTTTTAGTTTCTACATCACTACTTCCTACAAAAGTACTTACCTATCGAGTTCTATCGAGTTTCTTTATTATGTAGTAACTACTATAAAATAAAATATATTAATGCAGCGCCCCCTAGTGAGCTACTATCGTAACACTTATTTATGAACCCTCACTAATCAACTACAAACGCATTACTGAAAACTGCATCAAAATCGAACTAGTAGTTTTGGTTTTGCACAAACAAATGTTTGCTGCAGCGCCCCCTGGTGAGTTGTCACCGTAACACCTGTCTAAGAACATGCACCAATCAAATCTTTACCCATAACTGAAAACTGCATCAAAATTGGACTAGTAGTTTTGGAGAAAAATAGCTACATGGATTTGCACAAACAAACGAACAACCTCTCATTCCAAACGCATATACCGTCTCCGTTCCGTCGTGGGTAAATACCCCTTATAAATGATGACACACTAAATTTTCCGTGACACAAACTAAATAAAATACATAACTTAAAAATTCAATTATAAACGCGTAAATTAAAAAAAAACAATAATTGTAATTAAAACATCTTCAAGGTTAGCGACATTAACCTTTCACTACTGACATCAATATTTTATAAATATTTAACATTCCTGCAAAATATTACTGGTTAAAAGGTTCAAAGGTCAAATAAAAATATGAAAATGAAAAAGACCACATAACAAACGTTACGCAACTGTGTATAGTAATGTAGTGATAAAAATATTATGTAACCTAACTGTGATTGCCATGTTTATCTATACTGTATAGAAACATCCATATTCATACTTAATATTATAAATGCGAAGTTGTGTTTGTTTGTTTGTCCGTCTTTCACGTCGAAACAGAATGACGGATTGGCGTGATTGTTTGTGTGGAGATAGTTGGAGGGCTGGAGAGTGACATAGGCTACTTTTTAGGAGATTATTTTTACGGGAAAGCAGGTATAATACAACCCACAACTACTCATCATACCTATGTATGTATATATAAAAAAAATAAATGTGGCACTCGGAGACTGCCGCGGTAAAGCTATTGCATAGCATTTTTTATCAACTTATGCAATTATAATTATTTATTTATTTTATTAATGCAGTATTTTTATTCCTTGACTTTCTTCATTAATAAATGCCCTTTGTTTATTCAAATTTAAAACACTTTGTACACAAATTATACGAGCACAGATATTCACTATTGTGTCTATTTGTAGATGATAAATACCTATACACCTATATACTTTCTCACAAACAGCTAATTACGGTAGTTTTCCAATACAACCAATGCCACCTAAAGCGGGTTGCTGAACTAAAGAGACAAGCGTGATATTTCAAAAAGTCATTAAAAGTTCTGGTATTTACCGATAGATGGAAAAACTAAAAAGTATTACCGCTGTGCCGGTCGGAGTGGGGGGTGTCAGGTTTTTTCGTTACGGAATTTCTGGATTCGGTCCCCACGCTCAAGGCCCGCGATAGAAGCTATGCAATAGCTTAATATGTGTGCACAAACCTCATGTCGGGCGAGAAGTCGAGGGCGCAGGCGTACCCGGCGACCATGTGCCCCACGAAGGTCTTCTTGCGGTTGAGCTTGAAGCGGTTGAGCGCGGAGAAGACCACCACCTTGTTGTCCATGGACTGGCACGCCAGCCACTTGCCGTTGGGCGCCGCCGTCACGGCCGGCAGCGAGTGCATCGACGGGTCCGCTATGTACTTCATGTCCACGGGGATGTCCCTGCCAGTTACTTTATTTATTTATTTACAGGACACGCAGTTGTTCAAACATTATATATCTTATCTACAGACTTAACACAAAAATCTAAATTTAAGTACACACAAAAACCTAAAGTTAAGTTTAACATTTGAAAATGTCACAACATGCACCATATTATTTATACCACATTCTTATACAATACCTAGCTCAAACACGATTTGTATAAGGAGATTAGGTCTAATTTTATTTTACGAACAATATTTTCTTTATTTTATTTAGACGCTTAGTATGAAAGACTATACGATGAGACTTATATCTCTTACTTGAGAAATGATTGTTTCCGGTACAAACTCCCACCCCACTTTTCATTCCCTTAAAGGATGATTTCTAGGATAAAACTATCCTATGTCCTTTCCAAGGTCTCAAACTATCTCCATACCAAATTTCATATAAATCGGTTCAGCGTGAAAAGGTAACGGACAGACAGACAGAGCTACTTTCGCATTTATAATAGTAATATGAATTTAGAAGTGGCTTAATTTCGATTCTCTCGGATTTGTTTTTGTAAAAGACGATTTTTGTCTCTCAATCGAAAGGTACATTAATTATAACGATAAGCCTTTCTAGACAATTCATCTTTCTATTGGTTATATGAAAATTATAAAAAAATCGTTTTAATGTAATTATAAAAAACACAACAATTTATTATAGGTACAATTAACTTTTAGCAATCAAACGTTTTGAAGTAAAACTTCTTTAGGCGTGACTGAGAGGTAAGTCAAAGTCAATACATTGGAAAAATTAGTGTGGCGGAAGTGTGTTGATGGAATGAGAGTCAAATTTATTATCAATAATTTTACACAAAATAATGATATTTATATAATAATTATTTATATAATAATTATAAAAATAAGTATTTATTACTAATAATTTTACAAAAATTATTGAAGTGAAACATCTTTAGAATCGCTGTGATTTGAAATTCGACGAAACGGAAATGAAACGCAAATGCGACACTAAAAAGAGACAAACGCATAAATATATAGGATTAAGCCTATACTGAAATAGAATACTATAATGATAGAATACATCGTCATGTTGCCATGGTAACCGTTGTTATTGTCTCACAAATATATACTATTAAGTTTCACTTTTACTATGTGTTAATTGCACACACACACACGCTCTTTTTTATATTTATGTAAAGATAATATACTCCTTTAATTATATATTTTATTTTATTATCCAAGTAGGTTGTATTTATTTAGTATTTAATGAAATAGTTTAATGGTATGTCAAGTCAATATATTTTAAAAGTAAAAACATTTGGTTCAAATAAACTTTTAAAATGTAGTTTCTTTAAAATTTTAGCAAAACGTTGAAGTTTTATTGATCAATATCGTTCATAAGAAAAATCATATTATATTTATATTTCAATTTGGAATGATTAATTTAATCGCGGTATCTGAGACACCGCCAAAGAAGCCCTCGTTGCCTTCAATTGTTTTTGTTTATGTGTAGTTTGTCGTTGTTGTGTAGTGTGTACGAGAGTAGCCGCGGTACGCACCACTCCCAGACGCGCAGGCTCTTGTCGTCGGAGGTGGTGACGAAGCGGCGGTTGTCGTCCACGAAGGTGATGGAGTTGACGGCGCCGAGGTGGCGGTCGTACTCCTGCACCACCTCGCCGCTGCGCGTGTCCCACTAACGGACGAAACGATCACTATATATATTATTGTCACTAAATCTGTACTAATATTATAAAAAGGTAAAGTTTGTCAGTTTATGAGATTGTGAGTTTCTGACGTAGGGGGGGTAAAAAACTAAAAAGGTAGGTTCCATTATGAGATGAATTTCGAAAAATGCTAAAACACGTATTTAATTTATTGCATTGAATAGTATTGATAACAAGTTTCGAGTAATTCTGATCATAAATATTTTTTTGTGTTGTATTATAACGTGTTTTTCCGTGGGAATGAGATAATCTCCCGCGGTAAAAAAGCCTATGTCACCAGTCCTCCAACTATCTCCACACAAAGAATCCGCCAATCCGCCAAACCGTTTTAACGTGAAAGAAAGACAAACAAACAAAACAAGTATGAAAGTATGGATATGTCTAAGAATGTATCCAATGGCACTTTTCTTATAGTATCTAGTTAAGGGAGAGACACTTTGTTCTTATATTCTATATTTAGTTATAGTAAATGAACCACATTAACGTTACAAAAAGATCATTCAGGTAAATCTAAATAATATTTGAGTTGAAAATAGTGAGCAAAATTAGTTTTATTTAAAATGACACACCATTGATTTGCCTAAATCTAAGAAAATATTATAATACGTAAATCTCAAATTTATTGATAGATGGCGCTACCCGAGAACTTTAAAAAAACAAGTACACAAACAGGACAAAGTCGCGGACGATAAATAGCACACACATTACACAAACTAAAATATACATATACAAAAATGATCAAGGTACTGGTAACCCAGTGGTAACGCGCTTGGTTGGTAAACTTAATGATGCGGTTTTAAATCCCAGGTCTCGCCTCTCTTATATTTTCATGTGCGAATTATTTCCAACACGATTACCACTTGTCTTACGGTGAAAGAAAACATCGTGAGTAAACCTGCATGCTTGAGAGAACCTAGCAAGTTTTCGAAAGACATGCTCGGTCCGCCCGCACTTGGCCCGTGTGGTGGGCTATGGCCTGATACCCCTCGTATTAAAGGGAGGCCCACCCCCAGTAGTGGGACGTTAAAAAAGGCCGAATACTAAGGGTTGATCTACAATACAGTGTTGATCACAGTCCGTTCTCGGTCTGGTAAAGTATTTTTATATAAGAAACGTTACTGGAGTGTGATTTGACTGAAACTTAACTCTCACTGATGGTGTAAACGCACTTATTCTTTTCGAAGTAGAACATTTTTACGCTCGCTTGATTAGGGGGGTAAGCTGGTGAATGCGTTACGAAAAAACGTACGTACATTTGTTGTCATGGTAACCGTTGTTATTGTTTGTCAAATGATATATAATACTATATTCTTTTCTTATATGATATTCTATAAATATATGGTTGTAATTTGCCTAATATCGTTATTTTTAATATCTCACACCAATCCTAATTATTTAAAACATAAATTTAATTTCATAAAGAGTACCTACCGATAACCTACAGAAAGAAGTTTTACTTCTTGCGCGTGTACACATTCATACGGGCACTTTTTAATTTTTCGTATAAAAATATTTTACGTCGGCAGTGTGGGTCAGCCCTGACTCCCGATACTCACGCATATGATCTTCTTGTCGGAGGTGCCGGCCACGAAGAGGTGCTGCTTGTCGGCGTCGGGGTGGAACTTGGCGCAGTAGGGCACCTTGCGCGAGGTGAAGCGCGCCGCGCACGTGCCCGCCTCCGTGTCCCACAGCTTGATGTAGCGGTCGTACGCTGCGGACCACGCACCGCGCGAGCGCATACATACTCATATTATGAATAGGAAATTGATTGATCATGATTTAGATGAAATTTGGTAAAAAGATAGTTTGACACCCTGGGAAGGAGATAGGACATTTTTATCCCGGAAATCATCCCTTAAGGGAATGAGAAAGGGAGGTGGAAATTTGTATAAAGAATGAATGATTTCCCAAGGGCTATATTTATGAAAACATACAGTATTATTGTTACGCCATCACGTAAAAAGTACTGAACGCATCGATATGGGACTTTGACAAATGCTTTATGCTTATATATTTAATTACTAACGTAATATTTTAACACTTTAGAAAAAAAGAATGCCAGAAATAAGTCAAATTAATATTAAAATGTTTTCTATTCACCGGCAGATAAAAACTGTGTTCCACTGTTATTAAAGTTAACATCCCGCACCGCTTGCCTGTGTCCGAAGTACGTGCGTATACAACGCCTCTCGCCATACACTTCCCATATCTGGAATGAATAAAATAAAATATACACTAAATTTATAGCTATAGTGAATAGAGAGAGAGAGGATAAGAATATAATTCTTATAATGATATATTGTAAACTAGCGATTTACCCTCGCTTGACTCGGGTGCGTCCCTAGCTATGCGGATTTTGCTCATAATTTCTTGGGTTTAAGTTTTTTGTACAATAATAAAAGTAGCCTAAGTTACTCCTGTTAATATCAGCTATCTGCGAGTGAAAGTACCAAATCGGTCAAGCCGTTTCGGAGATTAGCCGAACAAACAACAGACAGACAAACAGACAAAAATTAAAAAAAAAAAGATTTTCTTATAAATAACGTATATAATTTCATATGATTTTAATAAAAAAAAAACTGTTTTTTTTTTACATTACAAACACTTCAATTTTATTTATCTGTATAGGAGAGCCACTGTTGAGTTTCTCGCCGGCTTTTATCAGTTTTACGAGACGGTAGTAACTTCTTCACGAATTTACATACATACTGAATATAAATAAGTATAAAATGTAAAATTGACCATTCAAAAGTGCTTGTAAAAGTCTATTTAAATAAAGTATATTTTGATTTTAAGCAAAACTATGTGGAATAAAAAATGCAACAGGGGCAAGACACTAAGGCGTGATGGTTTTCATGAAACGGAAATTACAGCATTTAGGAAAATAAAATAACAAAAACAGTGAGATATCTTTGCTTACTTTTTTTCAGACATGAGATATTTTCCCGTAAAAAAGTAAAAATGTAAAAGGTAACCTATATGTTGATCCAGATAACCAGCTATCATCATACTAAATTTCAGCAAAATCCCTTCAGTGGTTTTTCCGTGATGCGGTCACATACAAAAATTATAGATTCGACCTCTGGTGTGATTGAGTAACAAACCTCCATCCATTCAAACTTTCAGATTTATTTTATTGATGAGATTGTATTCTATCTGAATACCTTGACCCGGCAGTCCATGCCGGCGGACAGCATGAGGTGCGCGGTGGCGGGGAACCAGCGCACCGCCGACACGCCCTTCGTGTGCCCTTTCCACGTGAATATGTGCGCCTGCGAGGGACACGGGTGAAATGTTACTAGTCATATCATACGTGTCGTCAGAAACAGACAACAAAGCAAAATTATTTCATATAAATGTCAATAGATAAAAATAGATAGTTGAAATAGAAAAATAAAATAGAATAAAAATTTGTTTATGACGCACAAAAACAATAAAAAAGTCGTTCAGTGTTGCAGGACACCTGGTAGGAGTGAAGTTCCTTTCGCTGTTCGCCCTTTCGTCATTACCTCATAGACAGGTAGCATAGACATCGAGCAACGTACATTACACAAGCTCATAGAAGCAAAGCCTACCCAGAGTGCATGCCTGCATGTGCATTTCTTACATATACTGTAACACTCCTTAACACTTATGACCGCCTGGTACTTATGATGCTCTCAGTAAATAATAAAGTGTCGTGACGGTATAAACATTGGACCGCGCGCACTTTGGATACGTTTGCGTCCGGATTTTACTCGTGTGAACACGCACGGATGATCCCGAGTCCCGACCTTTCTAGCCCTATGGAGGCGCGCAGACTGGATGCGAGTTATCGTATGTATACGTGCGTGTAGTTCCGACATCAGAAAAAAATTCGAACTTGTAGGGATTTTAAAACATATTCGTGCGTAAGAACATTAAAAATGAATGAAACTACCTATTTGACGGAGCATTGGTATGATCACGATCATACATTTAAGTACGATACAAATTCGTGTCTAAAGTGCGCGATGCCTTACACTTGTCCCCGTCTAACTCTCATTCACCAAATGCGCTAAATAACATGCGATAAAGAATTTCGTTCCAATAATATAATCAAAGAACATACCTTTGGCAGGAAACATTTGTCCGGAGGCGTTTCGCTGCGGAGCTGCGTCTCGCTGCGCGGCGCCTCCACCCACGACCGGCCCTGATAGTCCGTCGCTTTATCAACTGGAAATATGTATATAATAATGCAAATTTAAATAAAAACTACACACTACACATACATACACTTAATAATACCATTCACACTTAACGGTATTGCCATTTATTATTATCGTTCATTTTCAGTTTACTGCAAATTTTTTTGTATTATATTCTATCTTTTATAACGAATAAATCCGAAAAGATAGTTTTATTTAATTGAACCAAGTTGGTCAACTCTGCTCGACATCTTACATAATATGGTGAAAGAATTGTAATTTAAACTACTAAGTGGTACTGGTATTTTAAATTATGACTTACTGTGGAATATAGATTTCTCTTCCAGAGGTTTGTCGTCATCAACTTTGCCCTTCTTCTGTCTTTTTGCTAAAATCTCTTCTAATTCCTTTGCTTCATCTCCTTCTGGTTTCATTACTCTAAAAAAATAAAGTGAAACATTAAACGTATGCATGTATGCAGCGGTGCAGCCCCTTTTATATTTAAAATTTTAAGAATTCAGCATGAGCCTTCCTTCAATATATGGGGGATCAGGCCATAGTCCTCCACGCTGACCAAGTGCGGGTTGGTGGACTCAAACTGTTTTCTATTATGTTATTGATTTAAATATAATAAATGTCACTGTGGGAAAGTTATCCCAAAAATAATATAAATATAATTTTTTTTTCAATTTGAATTTTTGTTTCTTACTCAATCACCCCAGAACGGCTGAACAGATCTGGATGAAATTGGGCACAGATATAGATTATAAGGCTGGAATAGCACATAGGTAACTTTTATCCCGGAAAAATGTATGCTTCCCGTGGGAGATTTTTTTGTTTTTCATAGAGCAAGGGATTGATTATCTATTTCATATTAACCTATAAAACGTACTTAGGGATGAACTCAAGAGAAGCGAGGGTGAATCGCTTGTTGTCAATAAACTATATTCCTCAATATAATATTGGTACATCCCACACGGAGACATGGTCTCCTAAATGCAAGAAGTAATAGACATGATGTGATACACACACATCTTGAAAAAATTCTTGTGCTTTTCAAGTATTAGTAAGTACATAATTTTATAACTTTCAGACTTGTATCATTTAAGGAAGTGGTAATCACTAATCATGTTGAAAATTTGTTCGACAAATGTACATTTGATATTTTAAGCTGGAAAGCTCCAAATAGGTTTCAACTAGATAATACATACATGAATATTATGAACATACCATGTTAACAATATTATTTAAAATATTAAAAAAGTGTTAATGTATCATAGGAAATTTTTATATAGGTACATGTAAAGTTATGTATGTATGTAAGTAGCCAATAGTAGTATATTATGGTCTTAGTACTTATAAACCTATCTCATTAATAGACGAATGAAAGCAAAAAGCCATTTTTGTCAAACAGGACTAATAGTTTTAAAAATTTGGATGTCCAAAGTGAAAAAAACTAAGCTGTAAAATATTATTAGTGTATATATAAATTACCTCCTCTCTCCTTCATACCCTCCCCAAGGTCCCAAAAATCCCTCAATGTCATCAGGATTGTCATTTTTGTTTCTTTTCTTTTTATCCAAAGGCCTTTTCTTAATATTCTCAAATACAGTTTTACCTTCTGCTTCTTCTGGGGCTGCTACCATAGCAGATACTGGAAAACGTTAAAATTAATATTAAAAAAATAGAGATACTTTTATTGAGTTGCCATTTATATATATTATCAAATTGTATAAGTAATATCTATTTTGATTAAATTGACATTAGGTAATACCTATTCAAATAAATGCATTTTGACAAATACATTAAATAATACTTTCTTAGATTTATGCGAATATTTGACATTTTAAATAAAACTATCTTTTTTAAAATAATTCATTTTGTTAATTGTGGGTAGGCTGTATGTAAAAACTATACCTTCAAGACATGTAACACCTCAGTCTCTCCCGTGACGATGGATGCTGTAAAGCATTCGAAACGTCGGGAACCAAAAATCAAAATAAATCCATGAAATAATCCAAAAAGATAGTTTTATTTATAATATATTAAATCTTAATTTTTTATCACTTTTATCCAATGAATGAACTATAAATGCACATGTACACATTAAAAGCATACCAATTACAGCTTCTCCATTTTCATCAGCTATAGGTTCTGTTGAAGGGTCCATAGCATAACCATAACTTGTGAATGTTCGTCTTTGGTTTTCGAACTGAAACTCACTGATATGTGCTTTTTCAACATAACCAGATAGCATATTTCGGTTAGCTTTCATTTGTTGTGTTTGAAAAGGATTTTCTGGACCAAAATTAGGTGCATACAATTCTTCATACTTAGGATTGAATGTTAGTTCTTGTGTGTTATTTAAGAGAAGTCTTGTGTCTTCATTAGTCTGCAAATATCAATAGACAAAAGTTTAGGTTATAAATAAAACAAAAAAATATGTTTATAATTATTATACGTCAATAATTTCTTTACCGTGGGTACAACAGTTGGAGCTGCACATATTTGCATTTTTTTAGCAATAGATAAATCAGGATCAACAGGTTTTAAATGTGTCAACAAAGTCTCATTACTGTGTTGTTTACTTGTCTCCGTCTCGTTGTCTGTCTCATCCTCTGAACTGCTACCGTAGTTTTGTATATTTATCATTTTCTATTTGTTTTCCTTATTCTTTCTTATTATTGTTAGAGAATATTATTTTTAATGATGCTATCTAACGAGGAATAACATCAAACCACAACACGATTGACATTAAAAATGTTAAATGACAATTGACGTCATATTGACAATTGACATCGACATTAATGACAATTACGAAATAGCTGAGTAACAAAGTTATAAAATTAAAAAAGTTAATTATTTAAATGGGTAAGAACTTTGTGTTTTTCTCCCGTCAGATGTCGCAATCACTATAGCCGTCGGTTTATTGTACAGCTTAAGCGTGAATAGATTTTTTTCCATTTTATTTAAAATGACAAATTGTGCAGTGCCAGGATGCAAAAAAAATGGATATCATTTGTTCCCAAAAGACAAAAACTCAGGAAATTGTGGGCCAAAGCAATAACACAACCAAAATTGGCGAAATCACAATCTTTATATTTAAGGCTATGTGAACATCATTTTAAAGAAAGTGATTGTTGATGTTAATTTTTTTTTACTTTTTTACGTATTAATTACAGGATTTCATATAAATTTTCATGCCCCATTTTACAACCCTTCGGGATTGAATTTCGAAAAATGGTACAACACTTATTTATTTAATTGTATTAAAGAGAATTAATACCAAGTTTCAAGTAATTCTGATCATAAATAATTCTTTGCATAGGCATATCGAAAAAAAAAAACAAATATGTAGTAAGAAATATCTTATTTTTTATCTTAACGCTAAACACCATTTGCTGTGTAATGCACGTTAAGAATGGCAGTGTTTCATACAATCATTAATCCCCTATTTTACCCACTTAATATACTCTCCTCAATATTTCTTCAGCTGGTCTAACTTCCAGATACAATACATTGCACAGGATTACCTCTAAAAAGAAATACAATTGTACTGTGTTTATTGTATTATGTTAATTATATTTGTATTATTGTCATTACTGTTGGTAGTCTTAATAAATAAATAAATAAATAAACCTCAGACTGAATGTAAAAAGGGCAATACGTGTGGCGCCCTCCTTTCGAGAAATCTCCCCCATTAGTTAAAAAATAAGCAGTTTGGGTTTTATAATAATTAAACATTTATTTAAGCTAATTTTATATAGCATAAAAATGTTTTGTTTTAAAACTAATTAATCATTGATCTCACTGGTTTCTAAATTATATCCAATTTGACCAACATAAAAACAAAAATCCATAGTCAGGTGACGAATTCTTGTGACAGTTCTTACTTTCTGAATTTTTCACCAAAAATCAACAAAAAAATAAAGCAATAATGGCTCTGCAAGCTGCTGTAAAAGGAAAACTAATTAGCGTTATTGGAGATGAAGTAAGTTATTTTTATTAGTAACATATAGTATACCCGTTCTAGATTTGTTTTGGTATGACAAGAACATAGAATTACATTTAATGTTAAAAACATGGAAATCTAAATAAAATATATGTATACACTAAATGATGTCACTCCTTAATTTCAGGATACATGCGTGGGATTTCTCCTTGGAGGAATCGGCGAAATCAACAAGAACAGACACCCAAATTTCATGGTAGTTGATAAAAGTAAGAATGTAGCTATAATATTTATCAACATACTTAGTGTTTTAAGTGCGTCTTAAATTGCTTTAAAAACTTTAATTTGTTTTCTAGATACTCCAGTGAGTGAAATTGAAGAGTGTTTCAAGAGATTCATCAAGCGGGATGACATTGACATTATCCTCATCAATCAAAACATTGCAGAGATGATCAGACATGTGATTGATTCTCACACAGCCCCTGTACCATCAGTCTTGGAGATTCCATCCAAAGATCATCCCTATGATGCATCCAAGGACTCTATCTTACGTCGTGCTAAGGTAAAACCTATTGATATTATAAATGCGAAAGTTTAGGAGGATGTATGGTTGTATAGATGTATGGATGTTTGTTACTCTCTCACGCAAAAAATATTTAATGGATTTTAATAAAACTACAATAACATAGCTTATACATCAGAATAACACATAGGCAACTTTTTATCCCAGAAAAAAGTGTGGTTTCTGTGGGATAAAGTTTTTAGGGACTATTTTCTGTGCACATAATAGTTTAAAATTTAAATTTTGTTGTATTTACATATGTGATAAATTGTGAATTTGAGGACTTTCCTATATGTATTTGTATTTTGTATAAGAAATTTTCTTTTTGAAGTCTTAAGCATATTTATGAATAGGAACATATAATAATTTAAAGGTGAAAATAATATAACTATGTATATACAATTTTTAAATAAGAATGTTTTTAACAATATTTATATGATGATATATCTGCAAGAATAAAAAAAATGTAATTGATTTGAACTTTTCTTTTCAGGGCATGTTTAACCCAGATGATTTGGTACGCTAAAATAGTTATATTGCATGAGATTTTGTCAGTATTTCAATATCATTTGACTGGCATTTGTAAATAAGCCAATATAAAGAAGAGAAAAACTAACCACTGTTATCTGGATTTGCATTTAATGTTTTCTGTGTGCAATTTTTATTAATAAACAGTTTGAAATAACACATTCCACACAAATACACTATATTTTTCAAATGAAAATATTTAAATAAGCAGTTTATATAGTTAATAAATTATTTAAAGTGAAATATTAATTAGTTCTATGATAAACCTTGTATAGATTGTTGAAGTATTATAATATATCAAAATACAACTTGTGTTTTATTTATCCTAAATTAACTTTGCATGTTTGATGTGATTTTTTATTGTTGAATGTGTGTTTGTAATTTTTGATGTGTTTGTTCATGTTCATGATTTATATTTCTTTAGATGAATGAAATAAAACATCCGGCATTAATAAATTAACCAAAACAAGTTTGAAGGCGTATTTTTTTGTTTTTTTTTGAACCGACGAAAAAAAAGGAGGTTCTTTATTTGACATATATATATATATTTTATATTTGACTATGCATAATTTTTTACAGTAGACTAAAGTCTGAATTCAATGATTCTTTTTTTGTTGGATAGGGCATACCTTAAAGTTGGTCCTATTTAAATTAATTAATCTATGTTTACCTACATTAAAAATGAAAAATAAAAAATAAAAAAGAACTGATGTGAGATGTCCTTTAATTTGTATCGTTCGGCACCGACTTAATATATCTGTAATTTTATAAATATCTGATTAGATAACTATAGTAAATGAAAACTACCAATCACTTATTTTTTACTTTTTAGTGTTTTTGTCAGTTTTTATTTTTTATTGTATGTATATATTTAATTTATAGTTAAGGTAGTGATAATATATTTAAAATTGTAATATATTTTTATGTAGTTAGCTTATTCTTTATTTCTTTTTTTCAGTCAATGTTTGGTTCTGACAACTACGCCACGTAGCTGCTTTTATATGTATTTTAAATAAAGAAATGTATATTTTATTTTAACCATGTAATACCTATATAAATTAATAAAACAAGCAAAAGTATTTTATATATTTATTTACACGTATTATTAACAACTTACAAATAATAATACTTTATGCACATAATATACAGGGATGTGCCACATATTGAACATCGTGATGTTAAATATACATATAACAGATATCGATTTTTATACAAATCACTTAAATCGATTAACATTTTCTATAGAAGCGACAATATTCCTTTTATATTTAAAATATTGAAGTTATAGAACTTTTAATTACAAAATTGTGGAACACATTATAAATGACAATAAAATTGATATTCGGCAAACATTCCTATATATATTTTTAATATAGAGCACACTACCGTATCAAACTTAACAAATACCCTCTATTTGGTGTCAAATATATTCTAAACCCGTAAAATGAGATGTGACTGGTTAATTTGAATTTCCAAATCTAAATTAAGTTAAAATTTTAGTCATCGAATTCAGCGATGTCATTTTCGGTCTTCTTGTGACCGACCCAATCCCATTTGGAGTAATGAAGTTTGCTTTTCTTGAATTTAGGGTTTTTAGACGTGATTCGGACGAAAATACGACGTCCGAATAATGGTTGTAGCTGTCTGAAGTTGTCAACGAGTGGTAGGTTCAAGTTCGAGAGAAGACCGCGGAAATTGTCCATCTATAATATAAAATAATTGGTTTTATTCTAGGTAATGTAAATCATAGCTTTTTAAAAATTACTTATTTTACTAACCGACTTCAAATAAAGAAGAGTCAATCAATTTGGGTATACATAATATGTACATTATTATGTTACGCAATATGTAGGTACTATATTGAGTGTCACCACTTGTGAACCGATTTTCATGATTTCTACTGATGATGATAGTCATTAAGGGTCGTCCAATTAAAATTTTAAATTAAAATATTTTTTAACTTTCAGAATTATTTTAAAGTTATATCTCGCATAATAATACCACATTGGACGAAATAATTTATCTTAATTCATATCAAAGGCACAGCTATTGTACTTAGGTGATAATACATGAGCATAAACTTCGCTAGGAACGCAATTTTACTTGCTGGTTCCTACTTTATGAATCAACTACCGCCGTCACTAAAAAGTAGTACCTATTTTAAATTCAACCGCGAAATTTACCTATTTTAAATTCAACGTTTCGAATTTTTTCTCGGATTTATTTTGAATTTTGATTCCTTACGTTTTACAGCAATCATGGCCACGGAAGAGACTGAGTCTCTCCCATGAAAAGAGTTTTATTTAAAATTTCAAATATTCTTGTAAATAGAAGAAAGTAATAAGTAGTATCTCTAATGCTCAGGATACGTAGGTTATATTTAATCTATCAAACATACACAAGCAAATGTTCATATTTATAGCATTGATATAATTACCAAAGAAACTGATAGAACTCACCTGGAATACAGAAATAGGTAAGTAATCTGAGAACACCACCCACGTGACGGCTTCAGCACAGGGAGGCGTTGTCAGAGAGCCTTTGTATGTATAGAAGCGCTCAGCGTCGAGACCGGAGAGAATGGAAGAGAGGGAGAATGTATGGGGCAGTTGCATGGTTGTGTTGTAGTTCTCAATGGCTGACAGGTTCTTGATCAGTGGTGTGAGGAGTTTAGCGTCGAATTCCACTACCTGGTGTAAATGTTTATATTTGTTTTAAATATTTACCTTACTTCATGGATATCCAAGTCCAAGACTAAGTATAAAGCTTAAAAAAAATAAGTCGAATGTTACATAAAAATAGCGAAATCAAAGATATTAAATGAATGCAGTACTTAGTTTAATGAAATTAATGAGCAAAAGAAAGTATTATAACCTTATTATTATTAACTTACCTGATAGAAGAAAGCGAGCACGCAAAGACCATCGGGATGTTGAAGAGCTTCGGCCAAGCTTCTATATTTCTTGTTTCTGTGAATGATGTGCATTTCTAAAGGCAGTCTCATGTCATTCAGAGTATGTTCAGAGCCACGGTTGTTCTTATCCCCCCAATGGAAGTGTAACCCTTCGATCTCATACTCATTGTCTAACGGACCCCCAAAAATGTATGGCAGACGGAACCCTTTTTTCTCTTCCTCAGTTGAATATTTTGGGATAGTTAGTGCAACTGTAAGAAAATACAAAATCCAAATTTAGGTATAAATGCAAATTTTATTTCTTTAGCTAACAAAAATGTACTGAACTTGTAAGTATGCTAGTAAGTATTGTAACAGGTATCTATTTAAAATAGTACAAAAGTTAATTAATTTATTACGAAAATCAAAAATGCTTTTCAAGTTACAAGTAATTACTAAAAAGTATAATGTATACCTTGTATATTAAAAACATACAACCATATTACAACAAACAAACCTGAATGCCCATTATTAGTGATAGTGAGAGGTCCGGGCAAAGGGTTCTGATATCCGATCAGTTCCATAGCGGGTATAGAGATAGGTATGGCCTGTCTCGCAGAAATGGAGATGGGAGACTGTTGTCTACCACCACACGCCGGATGAAGGACTGCCCATCGACGCTGATCGGAGGCGCGATAGCCCCAGCCGTAGACGAACGATACTAAAATTATCGTTATTATACACATTAGACTGCTATTATGAATGTGAAAGTTTGTGTGTGTGTGTGTGTGTGTGTGTTTGTTACTCCTACATGCTGGGTGGAGTTAGTTTATTGAAGTATTGAAAAAAATCGTTAAGACAGCACCGAAATTCGCTAGCTTTGACAGCCGAGACTACCGTCTTTGGAGTAAAAACGCTTCTTTCAGACTTTAGGTAGGTACATCTACGTAAGTCAGCAGTAATGTTATTTATTAGATAAACATAATTTAGTTTAGTAAATAATGAAAGAAATCTATGAAAAAGAATATTGAAAACTATACTCTTTATATGCTGGATTAAAAAACTTGTAAAAGAGAAAAATTATTGATGTGAGTTGAGTACTGATAAGTTAATTTTTGGACTATAGAGTAGCTGCTATTAAAATGCAAAAATACGAGATGCCATTTATTTAAACTACAGATAAATTTGCATTGTTGGGTGATTGATATCCGAAATCTGAACATCAAACTATTAGGTTCATTTTAAGATGGGACCATATAATATATTTATGGTTTAATCTAATCATCTATCGAGAATACTAAAATTGAGGGAAAATATTCTTAAAAGATAATCTCTATATTTAATCAGTATCTCATCAGTCATCTTGCCATGAATTCATCTGCAAACAATGTCGCCACTCACCACAATGCAACACAATGTTATTAAAACAAGCGTGTATATACAATTGAATGTTTCATCTTCTTCAATCGACTGATAAAATATTAATATATATTATTAATAACCGATTTTAAAAATACATTCAGATTATTTTTAAGTAAAACAAATGTGTGTGTATATTATATTTTTTTATTAAAAAATATTGTATAATATAAATAATACGTCAAGTTCCCTTATCTCAAGAATTTATTGTTGTCAAATTGATAGATAGCCCACAAATCAATGCCTCGTTAAAATCAAAAATATTCACAACGGACGTGTCGCGATTAGGAATAGGTCTCTTAGTTAATAGTACTAACTTTTAGGAGCCTGCTGTCTGACCCATATTATAATTCGTATCACAAACCAAGGGTATTAGATTCGCAAAAGACAACCTTATTATACTTCATTATGTAAAATCGATTAAAATATTCGTCTCACAAGTACCTATGACACTTTTTTACGATATACAAAAACTATTAATCATTCTGTCTTATTTTAGCAATTTAAAAAGGATGTTTCAGAATCGGTATATTAAAATTCTAAACTTAAAAGTTTATTATAAATGATTTTTTTTTACTAGCTTACCATCGCTTCGCTCGGGTGCGTCCCTAGGTATGTTTTAAATAGGTATAAATAGTTATTAGCCAGCGTTAGCTATGTAAATTAGATTTATTGTTTCGTGACTTTTTCTGAGGTTTTATAGTTATTCTGCTATTCGTGATAGAGACAAATCCAAAAAATCAAAGATCATAAAAATCTGTACAGCAGTTCTTGAGTTATAAAATATGTTGTAACTATCCCGACTATGTTTTACATATACCTACACTAGCGGCTCACCCTTGCTTCGCATGGGTTTGCCTCTAGGAAAACAAAAACAAACCGGTCCCACGGGAACCGTACATGATTCCGGGATAAAATGTAGCCTAAGTATTATTCCAGACTATAATCTATCTCTGTGCCAAATTTCATCCAGATCCGTTAAGCCGTTCTGGCGTGAAAGAGTAACAAACATCCATACTCACAAATTTACATATTTATAATATTAATACGGATATATCTATGTATAGATAAGGGTATTTTAATTAATTTTTACGTAACTCAAAATAAATCCTTTTTTAATATTGTTCAGTAGATAATTTATAACAATTTCAATATATCCACTTAATGTTACGCATATAGGTAAGCAGCGTGAAATAATATACGGAAGCGAAATTACAGCTTTAGAATCTGTTGAAGACGTATTCTTAGGAACCACTAATAATATATTTTATAAAATAATATCTACATGTCAAATGAACGGGTCTGGTACAGGTACAGGGAGGTATTTATCATAGGTAACATTGTTTGTTAGATGCTATTGTCAATATTGACTTATATTTGATTATTAAAATTTCAATATTTCGGTTAATGTTCTAACAATGAGACAATTAATTTGGTAAAAAAATAAAAGGTTATGGGACGGGCAAATTCTAATTTTAATTAAAAAAGCTTTTTAAACAAGCCGCTATGGAGTAAGCCTAATTTATTGCATAGAATACTTATTAATATTTAATTTATAGGCGAGACTTAATAATATATTAATATAAAGGCCAGAGAGCGACATGGTTATCCTTCATCTGTGTATATCTCTTAGTTCCCGTATAGAGCCGGATTTCTGGGAAAGAGATCCCAGAAACCGGCTCTTCATGGGGAGGAAGGCCCCCACAATAGAAATTTCTAGGTGTTTTAAATTGGTTATATTTTGTGAAATTAAGAGATTTTTTTCTTCACGATGTTTTCCTTCACCGTTAAGACAAGAATGGTAATCATGTTGGAAATAATTCGCACATGTAAATATCAGGAAAGTAATCCCGGATTTAAAGCCGCTCCCCAGGTTTTCTGTTTTTGTGTTTTTTTATTAATGAACCTATTTTGATGAAAATGAAAATCAAAAGAACTCCTTAAGGTTAAAGACATCTATTTCTCTTAAAGAACACACTGTTCAGTGTTCATTTACCTTTTCACCTATATATAAAAGTTAATATTAACTCCTTTGTAACATTATTAGGGGCCTCCATTCCTTAATTGGCCTGGAACACTTTAAACCCGACATGTTCCTCTGCGATTTTCTTATTTGCGAAAAATTTTACACACACACATACCTATTAAGATTACATAGTGATAGATAATTTTCACTAATTTACGTGTTCATATATTTTTAAGCGAATAGCGTGAAGAAATTTATAACTAATATAATTTATAACAACCTCAAATCGAAACCTTATCTCAATCCAAAGATTAATTCGTGACATTCGCTTTATATGTTAAATGTATGTACCTATCTACTATAAAGTTATCGTTTGATAAATGAATTATGATGAAAAATACAAACACACGCGACCTTTTAGATTATCTAATGCAATGTGAGGTCAAATTTGCTGAAATAATTTTCACGCCTAATTCATCGATGTCGTATGGCCAGATTTTGCAAAGGCTACTTAGTTACTGTAATTTATTATGTGCTATACCACTTTGTTGTTGAAGTGAAGTAAAAAATTACAAGTTTTCTAATTCTTATCGTAAAAATAAGAATAATAAAATATTAAAAAGGTGAAATAGAAAATGAAGTTTCTTAATATTCAAGCCTAGGTAGGCTTTTTTTATCTAAGCGTATAATTATTTTTCATTTTTAGTTTCTTAGCCAATTACCCTGAAACTTTTTAACCTAAAAAAAAAGAAGAAAGAACTTTCTCGAACCTATATAGGTGATATATATTACCTACATAATAATAATAAGTATAAATGTAGAACAATAATTCCGATTATATGCGTGGAGGAATCAACTATATTAATTTTTCACACGTATGGCTATTTTTGAACCGAAAAAAGGAGGTTATTAATTCGACATATGTACAGAACCTATGTAATATTATTGGAGCTGCAAAATATTCACGTATCTATCAGGACTTCGAAAGAAATATATAAAATTTTATAGGTATATAATGTATGTTTGTTCACACATCTCTCCGAAACTAGTAAACGGATCGTTCTTTTTTAGCAAACTTACATTTATTTTAACTTAGGGAATAGTAAAGATTTCATCAAAATCGGTTCAGTAGTTTTTGTGGTATGGACTAAAACGTATGATTAATAATAATTGGTTTCTATCGAGGTAATATTTTTTTAAGTACAAAAATGTTCCCGACGGTACTACATTTTTGTATGAAAGCCACATGGAATACAGTCTTTGGATTTTGATGAAAAAAGGTTCTCTTTTTAATTTAAAATATTGGAAAATTTAATTATTACGTAGATTGTTCTCTATTAGAAAATCAACCATTTTGATCAATTATATTTTATTTTTAGCAAAATATTATACGACTCAAGCTCATCTGAGAGGGTATAAAATAGCTGTGTGTAGGTACGTATGCCTCAACCGCATAAACACATAGGACTCGTGTATTATTACAAAATAGAGTTATTTTATTAAATCTATTGTATTTTGTAAAGTGAACGAGAATCAATTAATAGACAAAAAATATAAAAAAATATATATAAATTTGATTTTCGTGTAAAACAAAAGGTAAGCTAAGTTAGATGTTGTACTTAGGTATAAAGTAATATTTAAGATAAACAATGTAAAATTGATTTATTTTTAACCATTACTGACTGATAGTTACGTAATAATTTGGATATTTTATTTTGAAAAAAAAAACTTTAACAGAGAAGCACATCTCTATAACAGATCTACATATTTTAGAAATATTTTATTCTATAATTTATGTGCTTATTATAGTATGAAAACACATAATATTATTGTTTTGTCGGATGTTTGTGCGATCCGCTGTAAGAAAGGAAGACGCCACGTGTTCTACGTATCTTTTTGTACGTTCTCTTTGTTAAATTTAAAATTAGTTTTGCATGCAACATAATAAAATCATACTTATTACGCTATGATTAAATAATCCTTCAAACTTATCTGATTTCATACTTCAATTACTTCGCTTGGGTTTATTTTGGCAATGAAATAAAATAGAATAATATTTTATGACAAGTGCTAGTTTTATGTGTTATAAAAATTAATAATTAAATATATAAACGAAAAGTCCGATTTTTGATGATTTACATTTTAAGCCATATTTCATGTATGTATGTACTAAAATATTTTATTAGCTAGATAATTTAGTAGCAATTAAATGTTTGATTATAGGAGAAAAAACTAAACTAAATTTGAAGTTATATAATTAATTTTTCAAAAACAGCAAAGTATTATATTAAAATTCGAATAATTTTAATTCGGATAAGAAAATCAAAAACTTACCATTTACCGCCAATATAGCGATGACAGTTGTAATGACAGAAGTCATTTTTTTTTAAATCTAATATAATTCTTTAATAATGATAGAACACTGATGCTTCCTTCCCCGCAGCTCGCAGTTTATATACTACACATACGCATCTTGTGCATTGCGATTTCAATGGCCTAGCACGTCATCCACGTGAGAACTAACCCTACAAGGAATGCCTTTTAGCAGATTTTTTTTAAATTAAAAAATAAAATAAAAAATGGCACATCAAAAAAACTCTTTTTTATACTATTTTCTGTATTAGACATACATAAGATATACCGCATTTAGTTTTAATTAAAATATTAATTTATTAATCGAGAATACGGGATGTAACAAAAACCTTAAAAAGCAGTTTAAAGTTTAAAATTATAATTAAAATATTTTATAGTATTTAAAATTCTGTGTAACCATGATATGAATCAGGATTAAGACTTAGACTTATTAACAGATCATTACATTAAGACAAGATGAATATTTATCAATCTTCTGAACATGTAAACTACAGTACCTAGTAACAATAATGGCGAAGTAGGTCATGATTCATTTTAACAAACACTACAGGTATAATATAACATTTATAACTATATGTAAATATATGGTTGTTTATACTTCTAATTTTCCTTCAATAGTAAACTAAAATGCGAAAACGATTGGTTATAATATTTTTAATTAGTATATTTAATATTATCTAATATGTTGTTTTAAAATTTGATGAAAAATCATTATCTACTTTATTTATAAGTTTTATTAACATTACATATCGTTTTGATAATTGATCAATATTCCAACGGAACAGGAATAGTAAGTATTTCGTTATTATTTTATATTTACGAATTTTCTAATTGCGCTAGAGACAATTATGATAGTTATTATTCATCGGTCCTCTTTATACCATTTGTACAAAAAACCAGGGCCTGATAGACCGTATTGCCATTGTTTTACTGAAACTACTACATCGGCGAAACAAGTGTTGATCCAAGCCCAATGGGCCCGAACAAAGGATGATAGCATTACACTTGGAGATGATATATAACATTAGGCTAGCAGACAAAAACAAACCCATTGATTAGATTCATAATAAATAATAAAGAGTTTCTATCAAATAGATATATATCTGTAAAATATTGGCTTTCAGTCTTTGAGTGTTAGATCTTGGTAGCGCAGTAACGTTAAACCTAATCAAAATAAAATATTTAAAAGAACTTCATATTATTATTGATATTTCGAAACGATAACTTTCAATGTTTAAAATGTGACAGTGAAACGGAAAATGTAACTAAACTCTAAGACTTTGATTGGTGCGTTTACTCAACCTTTCTAACGGTCAAAGTAAACTCGTTATATTTATGAAAGTTATTGGTAACTTTTAATGTAGGAAGCTATAAGTGCTACTCCAGATCATTCTACATAGTCTATGTATACATATCTGTGTATTTAAAAAAAATAATCCAAATCCGTCCAACCCTTTCAGCATTAAGAAGTAACAAACAAACAAACACACACGTATAGCCTATAGGTACTTTGTGATTTTGCGAAATGTTTGTGATAGTTTTCCTTAGGTTTTCCTTTTACAATTTCTTAACGCACCCCAACAATGTGTATGGAGATTAAGTACTGAAGTGAATCTCCGTTCAAACAACAAGTTATAAGTATTTAGAGACTTTATACTTCAACTCCGTTCACAGAGAAACGTCTTCATATAGATCAATGTGGTTTTTGCGTAGACATAGATATATTTCGTCTAGTTACTTTTGTCCAAGGACGTCACGTTGTTTCCGCGGGATATTAGTAGATTAACAAGTTAACTAAAGTGTATGCTAGTATATTATGTACCTATTGCAATAAATTGAAATTTTTGACCGACTTGCAAAAAGGAGGAGGTACTCAATTTTGAAGTTGGTTTTTATATGTTATAAATTATAGTTAACTGATTGGATTGTATTTTTTTAAATAAATAAGTTATACCTCAAGGTTGATCCCAATCAAGAAAATCCTCTAAGGGTATAATTATTATTACCTTATTTTAAAGTAATTTTGTAATTGGCGTAGGTTGGCGTACATTTTTCCGTTTCGGAACTAAAAACTTTAAATAAATGCTTGCTTATACGTAATTTCAAGTAAATATTTCGAAAACTTGTCAAGATATTAATAATAAACTCACTAGCGTTTTCCTGCAGATCCACCCGCGTTTTTCGATTATATATTTACTCTGATGCAAAAGTCACGTTAGTTTCAGCAAAATCCGTTCAGTAGTTTTTACATGAAAGAGTAACAAACGTACATTTACACATTTATAATATTCGCAAATTTTCACATTTATAATATTAATAATAGAAATTTCATCTTACATTTATTTAATTCCTATAAATCATAAGAATTTATATAATAGATTTTTTTTAAATCCTTGATGACAGCGCCATGAAAATCATAGTCTCTCCGCCACTAATATTATTTAGCAAGCATTTTAAAATTGATATTTTATTAGTCTGAAATACTGTACAAATTACATATCGTTGGCTTACTATTACAAGGTTCTATGTTAATTTTAATAAAGTTAAGTAATTTTTACATGAAACTTCGTTATTTTGTTATCGTAAAAAAAAACAACATAGAACTATGTAAAATTGAATATCTTGTAGTTAAAGTGCCGCTATCTAGTGGTTTGTTTTTGCAAAACTTTAGCTAATGACACATAGAACCTTGTAGCATTAATAACTAAATAAGTACTAAAATTATAACATAGAACCTTGTTATAGTGAGCCAACGATATGTTAAAGCTATATTTATATTTTTTATAAAGCTGCTAATAGACGGTATTATTCACTTATAATGTGCCACAAGGGTATCATTTTAATTACTAAAAATATTTAAATAATGATTAAACATAATTTAGAATCGTTTAGTTGCCATAATGAAGATAATCAATTACGTTAATGCAAAGTGAATTTTAAACACAAAAGCCGACATAACTTTAAAACTAAAAAAACTAAAAAAAAAAAAAACTAAAAACATAGCGTGCTCTATTCCTTATGGAATAAGTAGAGAATATGTAGAGTTGCACATTATATCACATCGTTCTACGCTTCACGTCACTATCGTAGCAGTTCACGATTTTACGTAGCGTAACTAACCTTATGGCTCGGACTAAATAATCAAGACGCAATCCGCCAAAATAAATTATGTATGTCAAAGTCAAAAATAGTAACGTGATTTGCTGTATATGACATATTCTCAATTTGCCATACAGATCGTTTAATTTCTTTAAAGAATAAGGGATATTTTATATATTATGTACTAATTAAATGAATAATGAATATACAATTTTTGATAATAAAATACGAATAATAAAAATAAAGCAAAATTTTTATATTTTTTAAGCATTAGTTCTCTTCTCTCAGTATACAATTGTCATTTGTACACTATTTTAATTTTATTGGTTTAAAGATTCTAATTCATATTTAGTTCTATGACACTGTCTATATTATTCCTTATTCTGAGTTTTAGGATTATTAACTTTAAAGTTCGTTTTTGTGCCTAATATCTATGCTTGTTACTTTTTCACGCTGAAACAATTAACCTAATAAATTTTGCCAAAAGGTAGCCCTACCAATATAATATTCTTCTTCTTGTAAAATGAATGGCTATAGGTGTTGCTAAGTGCAAAACTCGAGAACAGCTGGACCAATCGGCTGGTTTTTTTCAAATAATCGTTGAAGTCTGAGGAAGGTTCTTATCAAGAGAAAAATTGGAAAAATTTCACTGAAAAACGTAAAAATCACACTTTTCTTTCTAGAATTAATATAAACTACTTATTTGAATGTAAGTATTTGTACATTTGACACGTTCTCATACTATGATATACCTACAGTTTGACTTTGGTTTTATTTGTTTGTTTGTTTGTCCTTCTTTTACGTCGAAACAAATGAAGTAGGTACGTGAAAACGTACTTACGAACGAACCCGAGTGAAGCGAGGGTAAATCGCTAGTGCTTATTATGATGACTGACGTTAAATATGTTGTAAATATTATTTAAAGTGGTTCTACGAAACTTTACCTGATTATAGATTTCTAAAATAATGAAACACTTGGAGATCATATTTTAATAAAAGCTAGTGTGATCTTCATGATATCTTAATTTTCCTCATCCTTAAATTAATTATGGTCTCCAGCATCAAATTATTAGCTTCCGCACAGTGTTAATATTCTGCTAAGATGACACATAACTAACTCAATCATTAGATTTAGCATCCGAATAACTTTTGTCAATTAACTGATTGTAAACACACCGCGTACTCAGTCATTTTCATACAATATAGAATGTATACTAAGACATTAGATGCAAGTTAAGACGTTTAGGCGATTTATTGTTCATTCACCGAGTCTAAAACAAACTTTGGCTTTATATGGACGTAGCTATGCAAAATGGATCTATCCCACAAAAAAGAGTTTACACATAATTGTTCAGATATTTATTAATATTTTAAATAAAAGTATCTTTTCAGATTTTTTCACTGGTCAATTTTGATTTTTGGTTTCCGATGTTTCGAATGCTTTACGACAATCATGGGAGAGACTAAGGTTGTAGTTTTTAGTTTTAGAGTCTCAAATATACCTGCGTAATATACATAAAAATCAAAATAAATCCACAACAAAATCTTAAAAGATAGTTTTATTTAAAATATAATTGTCCTAATTAATAAATAAAAATATTTTATTCCACATCTCATCACTTACGCCTTGGTAAAATTAATATTCAGCTACTGTACGGCGCCAAATCGTATCAATCACACGCATGGACAGGCGGGGCCTGGTCGGCGTAAATCATGAACACGACCCAACTTAATTGTTAATAGGTTTTATAGACGTGTAGTTTATTGTTTATTCGACAGCCATAGCGTTAAAATGCGGTTTGAATCCCTTTATGGGCGTGGGCGGAGTGAGACGTTAATTTAAGACGATGATGTTCTCCTGACCGATTCTGGCCACGGCGGCCAATCTCAAAGACTAGCCAACTGCGA